AGCTTGTTCGCCACTCCTTGTTCTATTTGAAAATGTGCTCTGTGGGACTGTTTAGACAATTATGTGGTTATTATAGCTACAACAGTTGTGTATTATTTTGGACGTCATATAATCAATTCTGTAGTTAGCCTAAAATTGCAACTAAGTGGAGGAAAACCTGTAATTAATATGGGATAATAGGGTCAGAAAAAGCTCCCTTGAAGAAATGTAGGTAGTTTCGGGATTACTAGACAGAACTGAAAAAGGGCTGAATACCACATTCAATGTGGGGAAATCAAGTTGAGGGCATCATAAAAGATTTAAGTTTCTTCGGTACGTAAAGGATACGCAGGACGGTATATCCAAATTCTGTTATAAATGAGCAGTTTATAATTATAAACATTAGGAGTAACTAACGGGATTAAGCTACTTTTCATCAATCCGGTTTATTGTATCACAAAACTGTCAACCGACTTTTATACTACTCATTAGCATCTACTACTGTTTACCCTGCTATGTCGCAGTTCCTGGAATTTACCCACTTTTTCGAAGTCTCGAGGAGTGCAACAGCAGGAGATTGACTGCATACACACTATCCTCATTTGGATTAAGGTTCTAGTTATTTTGTTAGTAGTTCCAAACATTTGTACATCGGAAGAAAAGTCCTGGATTTATTATGATATCTCATTTCGGTTAGGAATTGGATCTAGGTTGGAGCTGCGAATTATTAGACTTACGAATATATTACTTGAGTATAATTAGACGGTAAAAGTCTGGATGACATGAGTAAACCCGAGAAAAAATTTCCGCAAAATAACGTAAATTATGGTCTCTCGAGCAATATTCAACACAACGATCGCACCACCGGCCTGTGCACTTATTCACAAGCGTTTTGAAGCCAGCTTCCTAATGAAGTCCCAAAAATATTTGTTTTTTTTTCAGTAATAACATTTCAGTAGTAACATTTCGGTCAATCTACTAGGTGTCAGCAATACAATCTATGGTAATCCATTCCAAACGGACATCTAATCAACTGTGATCCAATGACCCAGCCATACCCGCTTTCTAATGAGTCAATGTAATAAGGTTACTTTGTACCTTTTCCAATACCTAAGACTTGTGAGAGCTTGACGTGGAACGACAGTTATGAGTTCATCCATATTACGTTTCCTAAGTGCAATTACGAATTGCGTGTCTGCTCTCATAAGTTCAGACCTGGCAGATTTGGCAGATCCGATAACATCTGATTCGAGGTATATTGGGAGCGATGTCTTTTGGGTACTCTAGTAATAGGAAATCGGCTGATGTTATTCATTATAAGCGTTTAACACCAATGGATAGAAATGTGGTTGTGGGAGGGACGAAGCACATGGAGATGGAAAACAATGAGCGTTTGCAACCGGATGCGCTGAATCAGCAGATGGTATTGTCATTCGAAACAAAGCACAAACCGAAAAGCAGGATGACGGTTGCAGCTTGGCATATAGTATGAATCTGAGCAGAATGGCAACTTCATGAAGAAACACTCACAGTGCTTCCGACTATGTACCACTCTTAACAACTGATTCAATACATCATCCGAAAAAGCATGAAGAAGCTTGCTAATCATTGGTTTCAAAAGAAGCTGTCAATCATAGGCCAACAACAATTATTGTCTTTCTTCATCTAAAAAGGTTTTACGTTAACTTTGATATGACGGAACGTGTGCGGGACCGGGTTTTAAATTTGCTCAAAATGTGTTTGCCTACCTGATCTTCCTCCGCTNCGCTATTACAATATAACTTGAATTGAGCCTATTGCTAACATTGAAATCTGTGTGGCGAAACGTGTATTCGGAGCGGAACAACCGCACACACCTACATAAACACACAAACTGTTTCAATGTCATTTAAAATTCTCAGGGGATGAAAAACAGTTATAGTCAGAGGTAGTAGTTAGATATCATCTCCTATTTGATTGATTATACTAATTATAGTCATTATGCGCAAGTAAATACCAGTGTTTCATTCATAGCATCAATATATTGACTAATAACGCTTGCAATTGACGGTAATGGGAACAAACCCTTCATTTCGCTTTACTTCATTTTGCACTCAGGTCGTACATTACGGATATTGCGATTGGCCAAACTATTGAGTATGCTTCGACTACTACGCCTCACACGACTTGTCCGCTACGTCAGTCAGTGGGAAGAGGTGAGTATACTGAAATAGATTGTGTAATGGGGCATTCACTTGCATAAGTCGTCTTGGGTCGTTTCACTATATGGTCATACGAATATGGGTAACTGAAGTATATTTGAGATGAAGTTATGTGCTTTGATACACACAACAAATGAGCTCTTTTAGTATCAATTGGAGGATGTAAAACATGTTTAGATAGATACAATGACCCATTTACAGCTGATTACTGATTGCTGATCTGATACTCCAAGTTGCTTCGTTCGTCTTTCACTAAGTATGCGACCCGTTGTGATAGATCACACAATCCGTCGTAAATGAACCCCTCGAATTTTTTAGTCAGTCCATTTTTTATGGATGGAGCTGGACTGAAGGATATTGGCTGTGATATTATCATGAAATGAGAATTCGATGCAGTTTGTCTTTACGTCAATTGAGCATACGCCACATAACAACCAATCTCATGGAAAGTTGTAACTCATTTAAAAGCAAAGTTGGGTTTCGATGAAATAGTTTTGTCATGTCTCAAAACATATAAATAGTTTCTCTCTCATTCATTTTGCGATTGCACAGGAAATCGATGTTATTCTGAACAGCCTAACTAGGTTTCAATTTTACCGGATCTGTTCTTGAAATCAGACTGAATGTGCGAGCAACACTTGAAAATCAGTGTATTGTTTTCCGCAAGGAAGAACACAATATTAACTTAATATTCACCGTATGTTGTTCATTGGAAGATTTAGCCACACCGTTTACTTTATTTAGTAATTTTCCGCGAACAAAATTTCCCTCTCTTTCTTAATTGGGTTCAGCAGAGTACAATTACGCTGAGAAATTTCCAACTGCCTACCAAATCACGGCTCAAATATTCACTGTGATACCTAGATTTTACAAAACATCGCAGGAAGTGGGTATGTTCCAATGGATTTTCACATTTTTGTGAAGAATTCTGCACTGGGAATAGATGGAGAAAAACCGAATCGAATTCCCACGACAAAAATAAATCAAATAATCGTCGAGCCTCAATACGATTACGAAGCACGTTTCACATAAATTAAGTTTACTTACTGTGCTGCATTCTATTTCTTTGGCGAATGAGCATCGTGAGAGCTGGTAATAATTTGCTTATCATTTTGGCTTTTATTACTCTTACAGATACTTGTTACAACAATAAGTACCTCTTCTAAATTCCAGAAAGGTAGAAGTGATAAACAGACAATGGTACTGGAATCGCGAGAGCAGTGGGGACCGCATATATTTTCAATAAATGAGGAAAATGCTGTAATATACAAAAGAACATAGAGATTTTTCAGACAAACCAATAACTATTTGCATGTCTGATGTCCGTCCACCTGATGACGTTAGAACAGCTTCGTATTTATAGATCTGGTATTTTCATCAATTCTCCAGTAATTGAGTTACACACCGAGGGCAGATTGCACTTTTCAAAAATGGATAGAAACCTCGTTTAGTAGTTATTGAGGGTTGCTTCGTTTTCCACTCATCGGTCCTGGTCTGCGTCTCTCACGCGTGCTCGCTCCGACCACCCCTGCTCCCCACTTACCCTTGCAACCTTAAGCTAATGAATTTTGTGAAATTACTTTGTGAAGGAATTGATTTGCTTTTCTGGGTGTGTCCTGTGTATTTGTGTGTTAGCGTGTGCCTCCGGCTGGAACGTACGTAAAATTTCACACAAAAATATCGTGAATGACCGTTCTCGCTGTTTCCACAGCAAATTCAACTGAGATCTATCGACCAAAACAATATACTTTGACGAAACCGGTTCGAGCGTTTACGGTTTGGGCATTGTTTTGACAAAAGCTTTTCTGCTGCTTATAAAATGAATTGTAAACGAACGCTGAGCATTCGGACAGAACAAACTGGAGCGTGAGCGCGTTTTATTCTCGGTAGTGAAAATTAATTGACCCAGCCGAAGGCCGAACGAATGTATGGCTTTCCACGTGATCTTCAACGGGTGTATTTATCACTTAAGTAAAACATATTCTATCATTTAAAGTTTCTATGCATGTTTTCTGATCCTTTATGACAACTCGTAAATGCATGAAGTCATTGAACACCATGAATTAAGGAAAGCTGTCTTCAATGGTCCAAGCAATTTTTCTACAACGATACTTTAGCAGGTTTGTTCACTCACAGTTTCTTTCTCACCCAAAAACAACGTTTTCAACTGAGCTAGTTGGAGTGTAACCTTTACGTCTTTTAATCTACACTGATAACGATAATTTCTTCCGGGCGGAGTGAGATTTCCCGGAACAATTTGTTTGGTCGACCGAACAATTGAACTAGCACAATCAATCAAACGGTAACAAGCAAAAAAACCTCGAAAAAATAATTTGTTTACGAGCATGAAAACGGATTGCGTTTACCAAACAGATGCTAGGTGAACTATTACCCCGTCGAAAATCTGTTGTTTTGTATCACCTGCATTTCATTTTGAATAAACATATTGAAGGGAAAACAAAGTCTAACTTTTATATTGCTCTCAAAGAACAATTTGCAATTTATCTCTTGTTGTTCCTTAGCGATCGATTTGAAAGTATAATTCTACGAATAAACTCACTGTCCTCATTCCTATCAATTGTGATGATTACCACCAAATGAGATCACAAACACTTGTTCTGTTGAAGTTATTTGTCATTGATTTTTGTCTAGTCAATTGAACTCGTTGTGCTAACCGTAAAATAAACGTGTTGATTGATGATCTTTGCGAAATAAACAACACAATTAATAATAACATTAAACTTAAGGCGATGGCCAAACGGTTAAGACAATTAATCTTTCGCCGGTGTGTTCAAATCGCACTATCACCACCGCCGCCGTCTACCTTCCCCCACACATTCGTATGACAGCCCTTTTAGTCCGCACCCGTATTTCCAGTTGCAGTATTATAAATCCATCAAAATGATATAAAAACCTTTAATGTTTACCAGTCGGATTGGTTTTGAGGGATCTACACTGCATTTTCTTTTACATAAATGTTTTCTAATCTATTTTAAACTTAAAACATTACTATAAAGTCTAGTGATTGCATTTTGTTTCCCGTATCATAAGACCATTTTCACGTGTAAACTGTTCCTTCATGTTTTTGCTAATTTTTGTTTTAAATTTCACCTTTCTAATTTATTCACCCAGTTTTTAAACATCGCCAGCAAATTCATGGGTATATTCAACCTCGTCCTTCTGATGCTATTACTTGGACACTGGAACGCCTGCCTTCAGTATCTTATTCCAATGCTAATGGAGTTTCCTCCGGATTCGTGGGTTAAACGATGCAAACTAGAGGTACGTCTTCTGTTGCACATGGCTTTTTCGGAGTTGCGTGCACGTAGCTTTGGCATGGTGTGATTAAAGAAAATATCTTG